TGTGCGTATTTATATGTGAACGTAGATCATAAGCGTGTTAAAACCATTAAAATGAGTAATGGATCTCATATGTGCACACAACTTTATGAATGATATTAATAGCTATAACGTTGGTGAAAATAAGGATAATCATGTATAATAGAGGTGTGAAAAAAACGAAGCGGAAAAAACGATGTTTGGTGCCCGAAAAACTAAAAATAAGAATTATCCGTAGCTAATCCGTAGCGAATTAGCTACGGACTAGCTACGGAGTTCTAACAAAAAGCACATTCCGTAGCTAATCTGTAGGTAATTACCTACGGATTAGCTACGGAATGTGCTTTCCGTTAGAATTCCGTAGCTAGTCCGTAGCTAATTCGCTACGGATTAGCTACGGATAATTCTTATTTTTTCAGTTTTTCGGGCACCAACGTCGTTTTTTCTGCTTCGTTTTTTTCACACCTCTATTATACATGATTATATCTAGTTTCACCACTTTTAGCTATTAATATCATTCATAATATTGCGCACCTTCGGGATCAAGTACTCGTTTAATAAGTACTCGTTTAATGGTTTAACAATATATGACTATATTTTTCACCAACTTGTGATGGATTTATGTTTGTAGACATGAATGTGTTGTGGTAATATATGTATGTGTATATGTGTATGTATACGTTTTTATGTATTTATATGTGAACGTAGATGATAAGCATTAGAGTTTAAAACCATTAAACGTGTAATGGATCCCGTATGGGCACACGACTTTATGAATGACATTAATAGCTAAAAGTTTTAGAAAATATAGATAATCATGTATAATAGAGGTGTGAAAAAAACGAAGCGGAAAAAACGACTTTTGGTGCCCGAAATATCGAAAATAAGAATTATCCGTAGCGAATCCGTAGCTAATTAGCTACGGACTAGCTACGGAATTCTAACGGAAATAATAATAATAATAATAATAATAATAATAATAATAGAAATAATATAATAATAATAATAATAATATAATATAATAATAATAATAAGATGTTTAAATAGAATAGTCAAGCATGTTAGTATGGATGTGGCATGCCCGGCCGGTTGGTAAGTTTGTTGTATTGTACGTAGGCAACCCGAGTTCGAATCCCACCCACGGTTTTTTTTTTTTTTTTTTTTTGCAGGCCGTAGCTAATCGGTAGCTAAACCGTCGCTAAACGTGTCCGTAGCTAAGCCGTAGCAGATTCCGAACCTGTGCCGTAGCAAATTGGTAGCTATTTTTTTTAATTAAAATCCATTTTATTTCCTTGTTATATTCATCCCACAATAATAATAATAATAATAATAATAATAATAATAATAGTAATAAGAAGATGTTTAAATAGAATAGTCATGCATGTTGGTATGGATGTGGCATGCCCGGCTGGTTGGTAAGTTTGTGGCATTGTACGTATGCAACCCGAGTTTGAATCCCACCCACGTTTTTTTTTTTGCAGGCCGTAGCAAATTCCGAAGCTGGGCCGTAGCAAATCGGTAGCTATTGTTTTTAATTAAAATCCATTCTATTTCCTTATATCCCACGAATTCCCCCCTCCCCTTCACCCCTTAGGTCAGCGAACAGATCCAGAAAAGAAAGAACCAAACTCCCCCCCCCCCCCCTCTCGTTCCAACAATCGCCGGCGATTCTTCCCGCTCTCACCGTTGCCGTCGCCAACCGGTGCTGCCGTCGCCGGCTTTCTTCTCCGGCGCACTTCCCTTCTCTCTCTCGGCCTTTTGCTCGATTCTTCCCTAAAAGGTAAAACCCTAGTGTTTTTTTTTTTTTTTTTTTTTTTTTGAAATTACTTGATGTATACAATTTAGATGCTTTATTCATTGATAATGCTAATAAGTTTTGTTGAATGTGATGTCGAATTTAAGGATTTAGATTTAATTTGGTTGAATATTTGGTTAATTTCACAGCTTGGTTGAATATATGGTTAATTTCAATTTGTTAAAAATGTTAATTTTGTTGAAATGTGATATATAAAAAATGTTGTGAACTTTAATTTGTTAAAAATGTTAATTTCGTTGAAATGTGATATATAAAAAATGTTGTGAACTTTAATTTGTTAAAAATGTTAATTTTGTTGAAATGTGATATATAAAAAATGTTGTAAACTTTAATTTGTTAAAAATGTTAATTTTGTTGAAATGTTAGGCTAATTTTATAAATTTGTTAAAAATGTTTGATTAAATGGGATGTTATATATGTATCATTAGTTATATATGTGTATTATGTATGTGTATTATGTTAATAATTTTTATGGGCTTTTTATGTATCATTAGTTATATATATTAGATTAAATGAGATGTTACACTATTACTTCATGTTTAGTTTAAAGTTTTAACATTTTTTATATCTAAATGTAGTTTTAGATCGAAATGTTGTCTAATAGAGAATGGATGTACACAAAGAGACTCGATAATCGTCGTTTGTTTAATCCACAATGGCCACATTATGTTAATTTGTTTTTGGATTTTGCTTATGCGAACGCAACAAACATCCAACATATCATTAGGGAAGGGGTGAAAGTTTTTGAAATTAGATGTCCGTGTGCGAAATGCAAAAATATTTATTACCTTCCGAGAGAATTAGTTTTTAGCCATCTTGTTAACCGAGGCTTCATGATTAGTTATACACAATGGTATTTACATGGAGAAAAATATCCAACACTAGAGATAGGTCAATGTTCAAACCCAATTTCACCTCAACACGTGGGTCCAAGTTCGAATATTGAAACAGTTCAACACATTAATAACGATTTTAGTGATTATCATAGATATGAGGAGATGGTTATCGATAGCATGCACCAACCTGAGGCTTCGTATTATCAACAAACACCACAACACCCAAATCTTGAAGCCCAAAATTTTTATAAAGTTTTGAAACAAACGAGTGATACTTTTTTGGTAATTTGTAGGAGATGTATCTACAGGAGATGGCCAAAAAACACAGAGAAGACTCTTCAAACCATAAAGATGATGCGAGGGTATGGGAGGAAATTCAACTTAGGAGAAAAGGAAAGAAGAAGGGTGATATCTATGGCATAGGAGCATCAGATACACATTTTGTGATTACTGGGACACCGTCTTCCCAATCCACCCAATCCACCCAATCGGATAGTACACAACAAGAGGTATGTTGTTATGGTTTAAACGTTAATTAGTAAGTTGATAATATTGATATAATAAACTAAAGTACATTGCTAATATTGTTTAACTATTGCATTGTGTTGCCATTTTTTTAGGTTGATAGGTTGGGTGCACAAGTTTCTACCATGGAACAACAACAACAACAAATGAAAGAACAAATGGAAATGGTTATGAGGATGATGAATATGTCTGGAAATCAACCCCGTGCTCCCCCTGATAATCCACCTGAGGACAATTGATAAGTATTTTGGAACAATTTAGTTTGTAAACATTTGATATTGTTTGTTTTGTTTAGTGCTTACTTTTGTAAGATATTTTGGATAATGGATTGGAATGTGTCAAACTTGGTATGACGGACGTTTTTTGGTGTATTTTATATGGTATTTTGGACAAATGTGAATTTAATGTGGTATTTGACAAAAAATTGGAAATTTTTAAATTATTTTTTTTTTTAAATAAAACGAAGTTAGCTACAGAATCGCTACGAATTTCCGTAGCTATTTACTTGCGTAGCGATTCCGTAGCTGTTTTGTTCCGTAGCTATTCCGTAGCTATTTGTAGCCGTAGCTATTTCGTAGCTATTTTCTTCCGTAGCTATTCCGTAGCTATATAGTGCCGTAACTATTCCGTAGGAAATCCGTAGCTATTTAATTCCGTAGCTATAGTAGCTACGGAATATTCCGTAGCTATTCCGTAGCGATTTTGTAGCTAATCCGTAGCTATAATTTAGTCACGGGCCATTATGCTACAGCCAATTTTCTGTAGCAATTCCGTAGCTATCCGCTTATAGCTACGGAATAGCTACGGATTGTGCCGTAGCTATTGCACCAATTTTCTAGTAGTGTTGTTGGAAGTTTGGTATGTTAGTAGTTTTGGTATGCAATAAGTTTGGTTTATGTTAATTTGGTATTTTTGGTATGTTAATAACTTCGTAATTTGATATGTTGGTAACTTGTGAAGTTGATAGTCTGGTCTTTGTTAAAATTTTGGTATTTTATTACTTTGGTAATTTGTATTTTGGTTTATGCTACTTTATAATTTGTATATATTTATTTTGTAGCCGGTGGATCCCTTAGATGCTACTATTAAAAACTATCATATAGCAATAAACTTCTAAACTGAGTACAAGGGGTCAAGGCCAATTGTCGTAACAAGATGATAGTGGGGTAATGATGAGGAGAACGAGGAGCCCAAAGATGGCAATGATGACTGGTTATGTTTAATTTTATGTTTTTATAATGTTTTAAGTTTGTATAACAAAAGAATTATATATATATATATATATATATATATATATATATATATATATATATATATATATATATATATATATATATATATATATATATATATTTTGTGGATTTTCTATAATGGATTTTATATGATATTTTGGATTCTGTATTTTTGCAATTTAAATACTAACTTTATAGATTTAAGTAGCAATTTATATATAATAATAGTTGGTAATTAGTGGCGACATGACATAGATATGTAACGACGTAATAGTGGCGACAAAAAGGTTTTAGCAACGAGCAAACAACGGCGACTGAGTAGCGGTAACATACCACCGTCAGCTTTTATATAGGTCATTGTTTGTTGCGTTATTTTTGGGTTTTTTCAGATGGTTTTGCTCACCTTACTAATTAATTTGTCTAGTAACAAGTGATGTCCAGCCTAGCTGGATTGATGCACCGGATAGGAAGAGTTCAAATCTTTGAGCCTATTACATTTGTCTTTTCCATGGAAATCCCATTTGGAGATGAATTTGCCCCTTAAATGAGCGCGAACTCGGGGTTGCCATTGAAATGGTGAGGCTACCGCTAAATTGTTTGCCGTTTAAAAAAAAAAAATTAAAGTTCTACAACTTACTAGATCTTCAAAATTTTCTGACACAACTTTGAGATGTTACAACTTGCATCATTAAGAACATGCACGACTCCCATTCCCCTGACAGTATATATATAGACTTGGAAGCATTAGTTATTCCCATCAGCCGCATTATTAGTACATTGATCTTCATGAAGACTGATGATAATAACCAACAGGGCCCCCCAAGAACATCCGGCGAGAGTAGTGGACGTTTATGGCGTAGCGAGGGACCTCATAATTTTCTGGAAAGTAGCCATGAGGTCAGCAGCTATTTTGACGTGGTCCAAATGTTAACAGAAGTAGAGCTTCCTTCTCCATCACCCATGCAAGCAACATCATGTACTTTAACCGGAGAAGATTATTTCGATGGGTTCCATCAAGGCCAGTCTAGTGGCACAAAAAACAAGGCTGATTATATTGAAGTAAGACTAGATATATAATAATGTGGTCAGTCATTTTAGTCACTCAGATATCTATGTTTCTATATCAAGTAATCAAGTATGCAAGCTAATGTGATACACAAATAGTTGAGGAACGAGAATACTGAAAGTCTAAAGTGCAGAGTCTTACAGCTAGCTAAGTGTATATAGTGGCTGTGCTCGTGGTTTTGTTGAAGGTCTACCTAGCTACTTCATGTTACAACTATTGCTTGTTTAATATTTTTTCGGTTATAGGGAAACTTAATTGAAAGGGAAATGGAACTAAGGAGTAAGCAACGTGATTGTGATCAACAACCTGGAAGTCCAAGCGAAGCTACCAAAACAAACATTACGGAGAAGGTGAGATACTAAAAGAATCAACTACAATTAATTAATTAATTTCCCACTACATTGCCCTTCTTTAGTTTATGACATTCATATATAGGTGTTTTATCTTTAAATGGCCAACTTAAAGAAACTGATTATCTTTATATGGCTTCACTTTGAAAATGGTACCAACAAACTGGATTCAAATGCCTTATTATTGTCGCTAAGCCACAGATTCGCCACCTCTTAACGATGAGTATCCATCACATTTTTAGAAAGTTCCTTTGCTAAGTTTTTTGGGTGGCCTTGTTCCAATAAATTAGTTCTGTCATTAAACAGAGGAAAATACAAAAGATTAACGACAAATTTTATTGCTAGTAGTGCATCTGTTCAAGTGATGGTTTTTTAATCTTTTAGTATAGGATGATTACATGCATGTCATAACAATCTTACAGGGGTTGGACTTTAAAAATCTTTTTATTTCTATTCTGTCTAGTAGATGCGGTTCAACTAGGTCCCTAGCCAGTTTTATGTCAAGTGTCTTTATCAATAATGGCAACATAGATTTTGGACCATATGACTACTAAATGTTATATATCGATCCGTGAAGAGTTGATAAGATGAAATAAATGTTTCTTCTAAACAAACAAATGATTTTATTAAAACCGGGGACTTTAATGGATTGTATTTTCAAATCTAGCAAAAATAATCTCCTAGTTTTTATGTATTTATTTATTTTAAATCATTTACCAATTAAAAAGTTCCACGTGATGATGACAATTTCGTGGCACGATAACAATGGTGCTTTAAAGGGGTGACCACATAAGATCATGACATTTTTTGTCACTTCTGTGCAGAGGCGCAGGAATAAAATAAGTGAAAGAATAAGAACACTCCAGACATTTGTTCCCAACTGCAACAAGGTAATGACAAAATGACATTGGAATCAAGCAACAGTAACATTTTACTTTGTTTCTATTGTTTTTTGGGTGTTTTGTGTTTTTCGTCTTTCTTTATCCTTTTCTGTTTAGGAACTAAACTTACAACATCTACAGAGACACAAAGCAAGTATTCTAGCTGATGCCATTGAGTATATCAAATTTCTGCAAATGCAAGTCCAGGTATTTCCTTTTATCATAGTAACACTTGAGTTAATGAATGTAATATAATCTTATGAAGACAATACAAGTAATTTATATATTATTAAACATATCTTAATTGCTAAAACATATAACTTAATAATAAACATTATTATTACAATATAACAACTAATTTAATACAAATCTTCATTATTTATAAAATAATAAAGTTATGTAATAATATAACTACACATATATAAATGATATAATAAAATCGTAATTAATGTACTAAAAGTAATGAAATAATGTAATATCATAATATAAAATAACAAACAATGGTTACATGATATTGGAAAATGTCTCAACAAATAAAAATGCCTTTGGTAATCTTGGTGAATATTGCACCATTTGAAAGGGTATCTGCTTTCTCATGGAGATGTTCTAAGAATTAGCATTTCCGAAGTCATAGTGGTTTTCCACTTTTTACATATATATATATATATATATATATATATATATTATATATATATATATATATATATATATATATATATATATATATATATATATATATATATATATATATATATATATATATATATATAATCTTTATTACAACTAGTTTTGCAATGCATATGGAAATGCTATGTTTTAAATATCAATAATTTAATTAGTATTTTCCTTGATCTGTTGTTTTATAGTTTTCTATATCTATAATATGAGCTTATATAATAGATGGTGCAATCTATGAGAATTGGTCATATGTCACAAGGTCTTAACATGACACTTGCAAGACAACAGAGTTTGCAAGTACCAAATTTTGTTGTTCCTAACTTTCCAATGAACCCATTAATTGGTATGCAACATGGAATGCCACAATTTGGATCTTATTTTCCTGTAAACTACCCAATATTTCCAACTTCCTTCTTTGGATTCCGACCATTATTGCCACCAAATGAAGTGCACACACGATCATTCCCATGGGGCCAACCAAGACATGTTCTATATCCTCAACAACAACAGTTTCCATCACAGACATCTCAGTCTGTGTATTCTACACCTTCTTCAGGCACAATTATTCCAACAACCTCCTCCAAAGATGGATCCTCGGTCCCTGGTCAACCTTTAAGTCAGGTGAGCATTAGCTATGTACTATTGTACAATACAGTAGCTAACTCAGTTAAATGATCGTATTAGCTACAATTGATATTAGACTCTTTTTTTAGATCCTGGATTAATCATTGTATGCCACTTAACAGGGGACAAAGTAGGAACAACAGCGAGTGCACGCAAGTCCACAAAATGCCATGTTTCTAGGAACGTGGTTGATGGTGTTCCGTGACTTACATATACTAAAGCTTAGATTTTGTTGTTGTTAAATTTACCAATACTCAGTAACTGTTTTAGTTGTGTCAGTATGCAAAAGAAACAGTGAATAGCCTCTATGATCATGTTTTTGCAGTCACAAAACATCCCATATATGATATGTGCATGATGAGTTGTTAAGAAAAAGAAAAGAGGATATGTGATGACTGGACAACGTTTTGAACATCTTGTGGTTCACCACCCCTAGCTCTTATAGTTCCTATTGTTTTTGAAAGGTACACAGCATTTGATTTCGACCTCACTACTTCTATCCAAGGAGATTTTGTTCTTTTTTCTCCCACTTACTTTTATGTTATTTATTTTTGTTAAGCATTGCAATGGGGACGTTGTATGAATTAAATGTGGAGAAGGGTGTCGAAAATAGGAATATAAGCATGTTTATTTGAAAATAGAAAAATGACTAGGATAAAAATTTAGAAAGATTATAAAGACTTGAAATAATGGCCTAATTTTGAAATCTAGTTAAAAAATGTTATATTATTATGTTGGAACTTAGGTTGCTAGTGTTGTGCGGAACGATTTGATACGAGCTCTAAAGTTTAATAGACCTAATGTGTTATAGTGTATTTGTAACTTCCCTTTCCTAGTTAAATCATGAAACAAAACACAATCTTGTGGAGTTTGAGAGATATAATAAGTTTTGCTTTGTGAAAACTTAGACCTAATAAAAAGTCTACCGGTTAGTGATTTATCTCCTGTATCCTTTCTGTTAAAATAAACGAGTCAAATTTTCAAGTTTATATATTTACTTTTCTGCATTGTTGAGTCTAGTTATTATAAAAAATAAGTAACAGTTCGGGAGTAGGACCAATCTGTGTCCTTTGAAACTCGATGAGTATTCTCCCCGATGATATTTTATATATCTATCCACCTATTTATAAAAGTTTGGATGAATGGGAATAAATATCGTTTAAAGGGGTTTCATAAAAAGTCGTGGGTTCCATCACTAGCCTAAGGAATTCTGAGTACTCTAATGAAGTACTTAGAAAGTAATGAGTGTAGACCAATATCTACTTTTATTATATGGGCAAGACCGATCAAATGAAGTCCTATGCAGAAAATAGGAGACGGCCCATAGAATTCCAGGTGGGTGATTTTGTAATGCTAAAGGTGTCCCCATGGAAAGGCATTATGCGATTTGGGAAGAAAGGAAAATTGAGCCCTAGATTTGTAGGCCCTTTCAAAATCATCCAGAGAATTGTAAGCAAGCATACCGCTTGGAATTGCTTGAATATTTGGCAGGTATTCATGATGTGTTTCATGTAAGTTATCTACGTAAATGTTTGAGCATATATGATGATGTAACACCCCACTCCTGGTACGCATTTAAAGCATTATTTTCTTTTTAATTGTAGAAGCTACTCGACGAGTCAGTGGCCCTAACTCGTCGAGTAGCAGCGAGTCAGCACGTGAAGTTGGTGTGGCGACTCGACAGTACATATTCCTGACTCGGTGAGTCCACCAGTCTGGATGAAGCCCTAATTTTTAGGGTGTGTATCCTATTTAAATATCCTTATAACCAGAAACCAGCCTCCTTCACCTCTCAAAGACTTATTCCTGAAACCCTAGCCTCCTTGAAGTGTGTGTGAGTGATCTCTTCCCTTATGAAGGAATTTTGGTGCATTGTTGAGCAAGAAGAAGAAGGAGAAGGTAGAAGAACTCAAGGAAGAAGAAGTAGATCCAGATTATACTCCTCTTTAGCCATCCTTTCTGGTAATAAAGTTTTTATCTTGATTATTGTACTACTGGATCTAGTTTGTCCCCAAATTGATGGTTTTGAGCTCAAAAACCCTAAATCCCTAGTGATGAAGTTTTGTAACCGAGCCATATCTCGGATCTAGCCTCTCATGAGCTCTAGGAGCTCAAGAAGGCCACCTTTTGGCAGCCATGGATTTGTTCTAGTCAAGTAACCTCCCATAATAGCCAAGTTTGAGTGTTATTGCTTCATTTCCTCTTAGATACACGTAAAGTTCGCAACTTTACGTGTTCAGATAGTCCCAGAAACCCAGATCTATCAATTGGATGCACTGAAGTTGAGTAGAATCGAATGAATAGAAACTGCATGCAAAGGAGTTGGCGAGTCAGGTCGCAAGTCCTAGATTCTTAGTTCGGTAGTAGCAAGTTTGTTTAGAGAATGGAGTAAGGACTCGAATGTTAAGTCGTGAATCTGAGTGTAGAGGGACTCGGCGAGTCTACTCCCTGACTCGGCGAGTCCAAGGCAATCTCCTTACCCGTAAGAACAGACTTGACGAGTTGTTCATACAACTCGGCGAGTCACAGACTAGACGTGTTCTTATGTTAAAGGTAAACTCGACAAGTTGATCATACAACTCGGCAAGTCGGATAAAGGTTGGCACGATATCAATAAGGAAGGGGAACTCGTCGAGTTGTGGCTAAAATCAGCGAGTAGAGTTGGGTAAGGAAATAGAAGGAAAGATAGGGACTCGACGAGTTGGCGACCCAACTCGGCGAGTCATGTGAACAGGTTGTTGACTTTGACTAGGGGTAAAATAGTCATTTTATGTTAAGATTAGTTATTAGTGTTTGATTAAGTGTATTTTGGGAATTGTATCCGAGGAGTTACCGGTGCAGCAGTCAGACAGTTCCTTATCATCTTTTCAGCAGACAGCCTTACAAGGTGAGTTTTCCTTCTAGTAGGAACAGGTTTACGGCCACAATGTCGGCCCGTTTAGTTAGTAGTAGTTCCAGACTATGGTCCAATGCAGTAGTTCAGTATGCTTGATGTCTTTGTGATATAGGCAGGTTATGTGTTATGTGTGTTCCGGACTATGGTCTGATGTAGTATGCAGTATATATGTTTATGTTATATGCCTTGATTATGTTATGCTATGATCAGTCAATTCCGGACTTCGGTCTGATGCATTGGGCGAGGCCCTAGTTAGTTCCATACTTCGGTCTGATGCAGTTCTGGGCTTCGGTCCGATGCAGTGGGTGAGGCCCTAGTTAGTTCCGAACTTCGGTCCGATGCAGTGGGCAACGCCCTAGTTAGTTCCGTACTTCGGTCTGATGCAGTGGGGGAGGCCCTAGTCAGTTCCGGACTTCGGTCTGATGCAGTTGACAAGGCCCAATATGTGCTTTATATGTTATTGTATGGTATGTGGTAGTTTGGGAAGCTCACTAAGCTTTGTGTTTACAATTTCATTTTTGGTTTCAAGTACTGAAACTCACTAAGCTTCGTGCACACACCACAGTTTAGCCTGGGGGTTAAACTCTGATATGTTGATATGACCTTGACACTAGTTTCAAGTTGATAAATTTATTATCACATTTTGAGATACGTGATTCATGGTTTTTACCTTTTGATATTTGATATTATGGTTTAATAATGTTTTCAAACAAAAAAAAATTGGGTTGTATTTTTGGGACGTTACAAGTTGGTATCAGAGCCTTGGTTTGAGGGATTCGGGCACACTCTCGGGTGTGTCTAAACTCAAACTAAATAAATGGTATAAGGTTTTTTAAAAGAAAAACATTTTCGAAAAGAAGTTATTAAAAAACTTAAAAAGAAGAAAAGAGCTTTGAAAAGAGAAAAGGGTGTGGTGCATGCGATCAACCGAGCTTAAGTAAGTACTCGCAAATTACGCATACAAGTTTGTGTTATGATTGTCAGTTTCAGTAGAGCAGCATGCTAGAATAGGACTAAGGATCTAGGAGGATGCCTTATGTGCTTGTTATATGTGTTTCAGCTTTACGAGAATTGCATGTTTGTATCAAGTAGTAGGATAGCTTGTTTAGGTTATGCCTGATAGTAGGAGCTTAGCATCACATGCTAGTACAGTTTCTTGTTATGTGGATAAAACCTGCTTGTGTTAGTTTCCTTTGTTTGAATTTTGTTTGCTTTTTTCTTTGTGGGACTCGGACTGATGGGAGTTAGCTATTAGGTGGATAGGTTAAGTCACATGCAATCTGGGTTGAATAATACTAAAGTGTTGGATTTGACCCTATTGCGTAGCTCTTGTCTGAGTCCTAACCGTTGTAAATATAAGACCCTTACTCGAAGGATTATCTGAGCCTCTTTGCATGTGATGGTATCCATATTAGGCCTGTCAAATCGGGCCGTCGTGTCGTGTTTTTGTCTGACACGACACGACACAACAAGGTTTTTTGTAACACGAACACGACACGACACGATGTCGTGTTTTTTTTCACTAACACGAAAACGAACCAATTAAAAAACGACAACACGACACGACACGACAAAGATAATATTACATAACTATTATTTTATTTAATTCATATTTAATCATATATAACACGATAAAAACGAAAAACACGAAAACACGACACATACATGCTCAATCGTGTCAATTTCGTGTGGATTTGTAAACACGAACACGACACGACACGACATCGTGTTTTTTAAACTTGACACGAACACGACACGAAAACGAATTCGAATTTTGATTTCGTCCCGATTTCGTTTCGTGTCGTGTATTTTTTTCGTGTCGTGTCATAAATTGACACCCTTAATCCATATGGTGGCTAAGTGGCATTACAAAGAGGCCTTCAACAGCTGAGGACTGGGTTGGGTGGAGTCAGAGATCTCCCTAGGGCAAGCCTAGGATGAGAGTAGCAGAGATCAGTAGCAGTAAAAGGGACTCGGTGGAGTCAAGGTAGTTCTTGAGGAAAGTAAGGATAGATGTGGAAGATAGTATGGGCCCGTACTACTGAAAGCATAGGATTCGTACTTGAACCAAGGAAGGCTGAGACAAGACCAGGAAACTTGTAGTAGTAGCGATCCCTCGATATATATCTGTATTCCTAACGTTTGTCATTATATGTTTTTAGAATGGTGGTTTTACGCTGTAGACCAACAGACGACAGTTCCGGTGCCGGTGAGGGATCGGGATTAGGCTCGGGGGCCGAGAATTTGGATGAGCAGACTAGGGAGTGTAACGCCCGTAGATCCGGGCTAATCAATTTAGAGGCAATAAG